GGCCTCTGCTGACCCCTGATGGACATGTAGCACAAGCAAGAAATAAACTCTGTTACAAGCCACTATGATTTAGGGTGTTTGTTATGGTGGCCCTAACCTAGCCTGACTGATAAAATGACTTTGGTGTTTATCCTTCTACCCCATGCTGTTATATTTTTATCACATATATAAACATCCATAAACACTGTACTGCATTGTTTTGGTTTTTAAAATGGCTTTATCTGTATGGATTATTTTGCAATCTGTTTCCTTCACCTAACACGATGTTTCTGAGGTCTCTCCATGCTCGTTTATCTATCTGCAGTTCATTGCTGCTGGTTTTGTAGAGTATCCCATTGCACAACATCACTAGTTATTTACCCTTTTTCCCCTTCTGATGGACAGTTACAGCAAGGCCGATTTTTTGTGATTACAAATAGTGCTTCAATGAATGTCCTTGAACACACCTCCAGGTGCACATGTGTGAATTTCTCTAGGGTATACCCTGAGAAACGGAATTGCTGGGTGGGCGGGTGTGCTCATTTTCAACTTTACCAACTGCCAAATTGCTCTCCAAAATGATTGTATCAACAATACTTCTTTTTTGTTTTTTTCTTTTTTTTTGCTGAGGAAAATTTACCCTGACCTAACATCTACTGCCAATCTTCCACTTTCTGTATGCGAGCCACTGCCACAGCATGGCCAGGGACAGACAAGTGGTGTAGGTCTGTGCCCGGAATGGAACCCTGGCTGCCAAAGCAGAGCACGGCAAACTTAACCATTAGGCCACTGGGGCTGCGCCTCAACAATACTTCTTAAAATTCCCTTTTTTCCCTTTCCCAGCCGCTGTCTCTGTACACTAAACTGCCCCCCACTTTTCTCCTAAAACCACTCCTGGTATCTCAACCCTCCCCCACCAAAACTCTCCTCTGGCCCTCACCCCCGCTCTGGCTCCCACAAAAGCCCAAGAACTGGTCTGGCAAGGCCAGAGGGCAAGGAAAGAACTGAGTCAAGCAGAGCCGAGACCTCTGTATCACAGGGTTGTGGGGGAGGATGCGAGAAATTCTGGAACCCGCATATGTTAATCATTTGTATTGAGTCAGACAGACCCTGCTGGGTGACACATGTATCTGTCAGGTGTTCCCAAGGCACAGCAGGGTTGCAAAAGGTGAGCATCTAATTCTTCCCAATGGGTCAGGGAAAGGCCCTTGGACAATTTTCCAAAACAGTTTTAGGATAAAGGGCAGTCAGAAGTGTAAAATTCCACCCAGCCTTGCCAGGAGGCTGAGAACTGCTATGACACCTTCTCCTGCACAGAGAGTGCAACAGAGAGTGAGGAAATCTTGCCTGAAAGTGCCAACAATTCGATCAATAATTCAATTTCTTTTCTTTAATCTCCAAGTCTCAACAATTCAAATCCTTTAAAAACCATATAGTCAAAAATTATACTTTTGAGGGGGGTGGCCCCGTGGCCGAGTGGTTAAGTTCACTCACTCCGCTGCAGGTGGCCCAGTGTTTTGTTGGTTCGAATCCTGGGTGAGGACATTGCACTGCTCATCAAACCACGCTGAGGCAGCGTCCCACGTGCCATAACTAGAAGGACCCACAACGAAGAATATACAACTATGTACCAGGGGGCTTTGGGGAGAAAAAGGAAAAAAATAAAATCTTTAAAAAAAAATTATACTTTTGAGTAATGATTTGAGAGTGTCAATGCCAACAATTCTTTGTTTTTGTTTTCTAAATTATGAACAATCCATTTTCTGAAAAAGCACAATGTCAACACTTCTATTCTTTTTTAAAAATGATAAGGGACCAGCATTGCAATGCTCTCTTTTTAATCACATGATGTCAACAATTTAGCTCTTTTTTTTTTTTCGGGAGAGATTCGCCGTGAGCTAACATCTGTTGCCAATCTTCCTCTCCTTCTTTTTTTTTTCTCCTCAAAGCCCCAGTACATAGTTGTATATTGTAGTTGTAAGTCCTTCTAGTTCTTCTGTGTGAGCCACCGCTGCATGGCTAGTGACAGACCAGTGGTGAGGTTCTGTGCCCTGGAACTGAACCTGGGCCACCGAAGCAGAGAGCGCCGAACTGTAACCATTAGACCATCATGGCTGGCTCTAGTTCTCATTTTAAAATCATTAAAGTGAAGATAATTCATTTTTTTAGTCTGAAAAGAGTCACAATTCCATTCTCTTTTCCTTTTTCAGAACATTAATATTGGCTACGTTTTGGAAACTTGTACTTTGGGAAATACTGTTCAAAATCACCCCCATTCCCGCCTCTCCTATGCAGCTGCTGCTGTCATCCTGATTTGCTTCCCTCCACTTCTTTTTCTTTGCATTTAGAAAACCTATCAACAGTGAGATTCAGTGAACATGGACTGAGCACCTGCTGTTATTCTGTGCCAGGCGCGGGCAGAGGAAAATGACCCAAACTTGGGCCAGGTCCTTGATGAGCCCACAGCCTGGCTGGGAAGCTGACAGGTACACCCAAGCAGGGGGAAACCTGACTCTGTGTTCTAATGAAGGCCAGAGTGATGGGGGGCCCAGGGAGCTGCACTCACAGTGGGATGGGAAGATGGGAGCTCTTGATGGTCCTTACACTCAGATGACTGAGGCATCAAGGGATTCCTGTCCAATGTGACTCTGTCAAACCTTCTTTGTCAATTAACACCAACACATAGTGCTGAGAAACTTTGCTGTTGAAATCGTGTCAGTGAGAATGGAATATTCCCTTATCTAGTGGGTCGGAGCGAGATTTGACACAGAGAAGCAGCTTGGATTACCAACTCAGGCACAGAGCTTCAGATATGGGGTTTTTTGACACAACAGTCTATATTTATCTTAACTTTGTGGTATCCAAGGAAACAGGACTATGAGTCTACCTCTCAGCCTAAGCCAGAGGTTACCTCCTGTCCACACAGCCAGATTTGCTTTGAGCCTATCAAAGTTTCACTTCAACTTCACCTAAATTCCACTCTTTCCCCAATCCTATGATAACCCTACTTCTTCTTTTATTTAGTAAGATACCCCATGGTACCTCTGGGTGTTTGTGGCATCAAGTTAATAAACCTAATTTTGTTAAACCACACTTGTGTCCCTGGTGGTCTTTATCAGATTGGTTTTATTATAAAATTCAAGCTTCTGTTCATTCATTCACTCATTGATTCATTCAACAAATGTTTACCCAGCCTATGTTCAGCTTTCGGCGCTGGAGGCATGGTGACAGGACAATGAAGGTCCTTGGCCTTGTGGGCCCTGCTTCTAGTGGACGAGATAGAAAATAAACAGGCAATAACAAAAACAGATAACAGGCTATAAAGGGACTGGATGGGTGCCTTCAGAAGGGCGGGCAGAGAAGTCTCTCTGGAGAGGCTACATTTGAGTGAGAATCTGGACAAACAGATCTCAGGAAAGAGCATTACAGAGATCACCAGGGGCCAGCCTGGTGGCATAGCGGTGAAGTTAGCACGCTCTGCTTCGGCAGCCCTGGTTTCACTGGTTCAGATCCTGGGCAGGGACCTATGCACTGCTTATCAAGCCATGCTGTGGCAGGCGTCCCACATATAAAACAGAGGAAGAGGGGTACAGACCTTAGCTCAGGGCTAACCTTCCTTAAAAAAAAAAAAAAAAAAAATGCAGAGATCACCTAAGAGGTGGAGGTGAGCCTGTGGGGTTTGCAAATTAACAAGGTCAGTGTGCCTGGAGCAGAGTGAGTGAACAGGAGGGTGGGGAAAGATGAGGGAGGTGTGGCTAAGTACAAAGTTTACATTTTATCCTGAGTGATACAATAATCTTACGTGCAGAGCCACAACATATAGACTTTTTAAATAAATTTATAAATCTATAAAATTGGAGCTGCTGTGGAACCCAAAGTGCTGTCCTCCAACCCCGCACAGTTTTTGAAGCATCCCCAAGGAATCTAAGAGTTGGGAGTTGGGGGGAACAATTTAAAGTCCTTAATCTAGTCCAACTCTCTCATTTTACAGATGGGCAAACTAAGGCTGAGAGGAGGTGAACGGTGGAAACGAGGCTATAGGAGTGATTGGGGGAAGGGCCCACGGTCCCTAGGGGAAGTATGGGTGGGGCCATAGCAAGGAGCCCCAGTTCTCCAACCACCAGGCGGAGTACCTGGTCATCTAGGAGTTTACTGAGCAGCAGTGGCAGTGTAGACAAAGGACGTATCTTCCCTTCCCCTGGGACACTGGCTCTGGGGTGATAACTCAGCAAAAAGGCCTTTTAATTCTCCTGCCCCTCCTATTTGGATAACCCCGTTGGAAGGAGAGTGGGATGAGCCACCCGACAGCCGCCCTAAAGGCCCAGTCCCCTCCCTGTCTGGGTTGAGAGCGAGGTAGGAGGTGCCTTGGCTAGCATCTCTGCACTTCCTCTTACAGGCTGTGCTATTTAACCTGAGCGCCGGGACTCAAACCGGCTCACTCTGACTTCAAAACTTCAGTTCCTAACCACCAGCAATTGGAAAGTCTTGGGGCAAGAGGCACACAGAGTTAAGGCTGAGCCTCCTATATACACGCGGTCTCCCCCGGGACAGACTGTCAACCCCCACGGGCACATGCCCACTTCTGTCTGGGTACACTGAGGTAGGACGACCTGCCCTGGGAGACTGTGCCACTGCCTGATGCGGAGTGACAACGCGGGGCGCCCTTCAGGACCACCGCCTCCAGACAGGAGCCACCCGCACTCTGCTTCGGTTTCTCTCCTCTGGGCGGTGCAAAGGCCCCGGGGCGTAAGCTCAGGGCGGGGCGCTGAGTCAGCGGCCGCCGGGCTCCTAGCGTCTCAGTGCCCGCTTCATCTTTCTATTCTGCAGCTGCGCAAACTGCGGCTCAAACGACAGAGAACTTCCCCGAGGCGGAAAAGCTGCCTCGTCTGCACCCGAAGCCCCGCACGGTGCGCAGGCCCGAGGACGGCCGAAGGCCAGGAGACCAGCCCTGGTGAGTGCCAGGGAGCCGCGGACCCCCGCCGAGGCCTAGAGAGGCCCGGCCCCACCCTAGCTCCCGCCCACGCCCGCTTCCGGGCGGGCGCACTTCCGCTTCCGGCGGCGGGCTGCGGGGCTCCGCGGCGGAGGTGGTTTCCTTTTCCTGGAGCCGCTGGTGGGTTTCCGAGCGTCCTCGTGAGCTGTCCCCGCCCCGCCCCCTCGGAGGTGGCACCTGCGCAGGTGAGCGCTCCGCTCCTGCCCTCCGGGCACGGGCTGTTGGGAGCGGGCGGCCCAGGCCTCGGGGTCTGCGAGCTGCTTCGGCTCCGGAGGAGGAGGAGGGCCCAGCGCTCGAGCCCCAGAAGCACCTTTTCCGCCCGACCCGGGCCCTCTGAGCCGCGCCCCTCTCGGGGGAGGAGTCGGCTCCGCTCCCCGCCTAGACGTCGGGGATTTTTTTTTTCACTCGGGTGAGTGGTCCCACCACCTCCTAGCCTTGTGACCTTGGCAGGTCCCCTTTCCTCGAGCCCCAGTTTGCTTATCTGTGAATGGAAATGACAGTAACTGTCCTACGGGGTGATCGGGAAGGTTAAAGGAGGGACAGCTTCTGCGGACTGTCTGGCCGGGAAGATTCAACAAATGGTAGCGGCGGCTCCTGTTGTTGATGGCGACAACTGGGGCAGTAGAGAGTCGCATCAGGAATCGAACCTGAGTCGCTGAGGCGGTCACGTAGAGGAGAATGTTTGTAAAACGCTCAGCGCAGTGTCAGATAGGAAATAAGTGCTCAGTGAACTGGCGTTACTACCTGGTGTGGGTAAGCGTTCTGTCCGGCAGGTGGTCTTCTAAAGCTGATAGGTTTATGGGCCGGGTAGATCATGGAGCTGGTCCATCTTTCACAGCCAACCTTGAGAACTGACCTACTGACAATTGAAACTGTTCCTAGAAGCCGGGTTGTAAAGACCTCTGGTGCTGGAAACTAAAAGAATTAATAAAAGGGTGTTTTCCTAAATGGTTTAGGGGTTTTTGCTCAGAAAGGTTTTGGGCAGGAGGGGAGAGCCTGAAAGGTTTTCTCCCTCTTGAGTTGTTATGAAAGTAATGCATAGTTGTAGTTAAAAAGAAAACAACGGAGAAAGATGTAAGCTGAAAAGTGTTTCCCTCTTTTACTGTTCCTGCCCCTCAGAAATAAATGCGGTTAAATTCTTTGATAACCTTCCAAATATTGTTTGTGGATGGATCAGGTCATATGTGCTTATGTGTATGTATTTTAAGTTTTCTCAGATGTGATCATACTACACATATTGATTGGCACCCTGGTCACATGGTGATGTGTTATGGCCATCTTTACATTATCAGCACTCAGAGGCCTACTTCATTCTTTACAAGGCAGCACAGTATTGCAGTGAATGGCTGACGATACTTTATTTAATCATTTCCCTGTTGATAGTCACTTAGGTTGTCCCTAAGATTCTGCTTTCCCACAGTGTTTCATCCAGCCTTTCCTTGACTAAATAATTCTGTTTTCTCTAAGGCATCCCTGATTTATGGGGATATTCTGCTTTTGTCCTTCTCATCACCCCTGGGTTAGTAACAACTTACTAATTTTGGGAATGCGCACACCTTGTTGCTTGAGCAAAAACCCAGATAATATGAGAATTGGTGTACTCCAAAAATATCCCAGCTAGGGGGTCTAGATCAATTCAAGGCTGCTAGAAAATGGGTCAGGTGATGTTTAGAGAAGAGGTGATTGGGACCTGAGAACTAGTTAATGCTGGGCAGCTGGTCAGTGTTGGTGTTTGTTGGCTGCTGTCATTTGTTGCCCAGGAAACAGATTTGAGAGAATCTCTGAGAGAGGAGGGATTTTAAATCTCAACGCTTCTGCCATCGCAGACTAGGGAAGGATTAGTTCCTGGGGGAGAGGGTGTTAATGAAAACAGAGATGATCCTTGAAAAATGACTACATCGTAGGGGTTATACTCTTTGTTTGGACATACTCTGATGTGGAAATTGATTTAGTCATTTCTATACTGTCATTTGAAGTCTTTTTTTTTTTTTAAACAAACATAGGATGTGGTTTTCCTGTAAATAACCCTCTTTTGGATGGGGCCCTAATCCAAATGAAGCTAAGGCTTTTTTCCTGGCATTTTGCAGATATTTAATTTGCCCCCCTTCCTCCCACCACATCTGGTTTGCTAATCCTGGAACTGTGAAGCATCCAGAGTTGGAAGTCTCTGCTACTAGGATTCTGACAAGTTCAGCTTCCTGTACACTGATCCACTGATGGAAGGAGCTTAGGGTCTTCATCTTAATACAGAGGCTTTTTCTTTTTCTTTTCTTTTTTCTTTTTAGCCTTAGGCTCCACCCTGATGGTAGCTCCTAAAGTGCTTTTGAACACTTACTCTTCTTTCATTGTCTCAAAGGGATGGGAGGAGGGAGAAAAGACAGCAGAGCAGATGTAAATGAACAGAACTTTTTCTCCTCTATTTTAGCACTTCTTTATAATTTGCTTTTGGATGTAGCAAATGCTCCATAAAAATGGTTGGAGGAAGCAAACACCCATGATTTTAAAGATTTTCTCCCCTACAGATCATGTGCATATGTGGTTTTTCTGTTTTAACGTAATTTAAAATACTTTGTAATGGAGGAAAGAAACAGATGAAAGATTCTCCAGCTAGCAAGGCCAGTGTTCTTCATTCTTTCTGCTTTGAGAATCTACATTTTTCCATTTTGGTAAACCAGTGACATGTTTTTTCAATTGTGTCAATTGATCCAGCAAGAGGAAACAAAAACAGAATTTCTAGTGGCTTTTTTAAGAAACCCTGTTATGATTGGAAAGCCGATGGAACCCAGGTCTGGACCAGATCCATGAGATCAAGGTGGTTTTAATAGCGTTTGTGGTCTGTTTTTGCTGACTCTGACTTTCCTCTTTATGCCTAGGAGTCTGAGACATCCTTTTCCAGAGTTCCAGAATGGAGACTGAAGGGTACCCAGAAACACAAGGAAATAGAGACGTCCATAATGATCAAATAAGGTCGTCGCCAAATGAGATAATGGCTGAGGAGCCGGAAGTTGTCCTAATAGGGCCTCCCCAGATCCAGGTTCCACGAGAGCCTTCTGGGCTTCCACCAGAGAGCCGTGATGAGGACTCTGTCGAGGACCTGGAGCCCACGCCACGAAGGAACCCTCCCAATGCTGCAGTCTCCAGGCAGAGGTTCAGGAAGTTCCGCTATGAGGATGCGGCTGGGCCCAGGGAGGTCCTCAGACATCTCCAGGAGCTTGCTGGACAGTGGCTGAGACCCGATATTCACACAAAGGAGCAGATTGTGGAAATGCTGGTGCAGGAGCAATTCCAGGCTGTCCTGCCGGAGGAGCTCCGAGCTCGGGCGCAGAGATGTCAGCCTGGGGTTAGGATCACTGGCTAAATCTCGCTGCTCGCTTCTTTCTCAGTCTACGTGTGAGAAGTAACCAAAGGTTCTCTGATGGAAGATCCAGCTGCCGTCCTGGGAATCTGAACCTCGTCCTTCTTTGAGCTTGCCTTTGGTTGTAATAAGAATCAATCAGAACCCCTGTCTGGACCTCTTTTTGGCTGAGGCAGCTCTATTTCCTGGGACTGAACTCCAGAAGGAGTTTCTCTTCTCTCTTCTTAGGACAATCAGCGTGCTGCTTGTTTTTGCTCTGCTGAATGCCTCCTTTTTTTGCACTTTGTGACATGCTTGAATATATTATTTTTATGTATCCAAAGAAGTAATTGCTATAACTATCAGAAATCTTGATTCTTGTTGTGGTGGCATGAAGGGGAGCTTCTGTAATCCCACCGGTAATTCCTTTGGGTTGTCCTTGAAATATTAAAGTTTGGTCCTTAATAAAAATGTCCTCTGGTGCTTTACCAGTTCAGCTCTTAGCAGTCAGCATTTGAGAAAGGTGAGATGATTATCAGGGGTAGATGTGAGGCAGAGATAAGAACTACGGCTGTGGCGTTTGCTGAGCTGGGGAATAGGAACAGGCCTGGCCTTTGTTTTCAAAGTCAGAATTTAAATTGGACAAAAGAGAAGGGAGTACAATAGGGTCAGCAGAGGTAAGTAACTCTGCTGCAGAGCTGTTCCATGTGTTTTCTCCATTTCTGTCGCCTTTGTTCTACGGCTTGTCTTCCTGCAAGAGAAGTCACTCTAAACCCTCTGACAGTTCTCTTCTGCTTTTCCTGAAACAGGTCATCTTGACTTTCTGTGTGCAGAGACCTGTACTTTGGTTAACAGCTGAGACAGAGCCGGAGCTGTGGCTGTGACAGACAGAGAGTAAACAGCAGCTGCTTCCCCAGTATGACGCCGTGTCCAGGAGCCTTTCTGCCTCTGTGGCCTGGCTCCTGGATTTGTACATCTGCTCCTGCAACAAACGCAGTGCCAACTCGGAAACTAATCTTTTGGGCAAAGGGTTGGTTAGCTCCTTGCTGGAAGTCATGTTTAATCTGCTGATGTCTGTTTAGTACTTCCTGTGCCTTCAGGACTGTTCTAGATGCCAGGATATAAATATAAAGCCAAGTTTTAAGGAAATATATAGTTTTTGAGGAGAGAGGAAGAAGCCATCAAATATATTGTTAGAAATGCTAGAGAAAAACTAGTCATCTTTCGGTATCTGCTTTTAAGATAACACTAAGAAAGCACATTTCTTATTTTTAAAAATGTATTAAAAGCAAAGAAGAGAGGAAATAGCCAAGTTAGGGAAGTACATTTTAATTGACGTTAGGCATAGGAGATTAATGGACACAAGGCACACCTTGGCCCAAAGCAGGAGGATGCAGAAACGTGTAGTGTCTTGGGGATAGTGAACATACGGAGGAGTGAACCATTCCTTTTATTGACGAGGTTAAGCTTTTCTAAATTCTAGGAGTAAAATTGAACGTTGACAAAGGAATTAGTAACCCCGAGAGGCTCACAGTGTCTCCAGCAATTTAGTTTGTTCGGGACATTCTGAAGGCATTTCCTTTAGGCTGCAGGGATCAAGAACTCTTGGTGTTAAGGAATTTCCTGGCCTGCGCCAGTTTCTCGGCTGCTTCCATGATCTAGAATTAGCTTGCAAGTAGAGGACCCAAGTTTCCAGGTGGACCCAAAATTGTCACCTTAGGGATTTTATGGCGAGACAGCTCAGTTTCCCTGAGTTGAGCGAACTTAGCACAGATTTTCTCAACCTTGATTTTGGGCCAGATAATTCTTTTTTGTAGCGGCTTGTCCTCTGCATTATAGGATGTTTAGAAGCATCCCCAGCCTCCACTCTCTAGATGCTAGTAACACCCTGGTAGATGTGACAACCAAGAATGTCTCCAGACATTACCAAATGTCCCCTGTTTAGTTTAGAACAGACTAAGGTACTGGAGATACTCTGACCTTCTTGGGGTTACTAACTCCTTTATCAGTGTTAAATGTTACTCTTAGAATGCCCAGTTGCCCGTGGTTGAGAACCACCGATTTAGTAGGAAAGTTCATCACAGACATGCCACAGATTACCCTGAGGTCCCCGGTCTCTTAAGCTTGATGTTGGCTTGAGAAAGCTGTAGAAAGAGTGGTATAAGTTGGGCTTTATATTCCCTCTGTGTGTTCGTGTAATGCCTTCTACTCGGGCAAATGTTAAGAAGCTCTTTGGTATGAAGATTACTACTACACCTCCAACCTTTAGAATGTTTTATTAGGATGCTTGACTGTGTGCCCGGATCTGGACCATATGCATGCATGATTCATTTAATCCTAACTGTCATGTGAGTTTACCTTTTCATGTAAATATATGTGCTTTATAGATGAGAAAACTGGGACCCAGCAGTTAAGCAACATGGCCAATAAGTGGTGGAGCTAGAATCTGAGCCTTGGATTTCTGTCCCTGTAATCTTGGTTTTTTTCCATCATGTCTGGAAATGTTAATTCAACAAGCATCTCTTGAGAATCTCCTGTGTGCAAGATGTTCTCCTTTTGCTTTTTTTCATCTTTATCTTACAATTTAAAATAACATTTCTTAGATTCATTTGGTACAGAAAAAGTATGAAAAAAAGCCAAAAATGGTCCATAATCTCACTTCCTAGGTAACTCCTGTTACATTTTTTAGGGTAAAAGATATACTTGCATGTGGATAGAAAAGTCCAACAGTATAAAATGGTATAAAAGGAAAATTTAAAGACTTTTCCCATTAACAGTTTCTTAGGTATCCTTCCAGAAAATAGGAACTACACATATGTAAGCTGATAATGCATACCTGTGCACATGCACACACATCCCTCTTTTTATTTACACAAAATATATATTATGCATGTTTAGTATATTTTTTTTCTTGTCCAATAAGTCTTAGAGGTCTTTTGCTGTCAACATATGGAGATTTACTTTATTAAAAAAAGATTTTTGGGGCTGGCCCCGTGGCCAAGTGGTTAAGTTCAAGCGCTCCGCTGCAGGTGGCCCAGTGTTTCCTCGGTTCCAATCCTGGGCGCGGACGTGGCACTGCTCGTCCAGCCATGCTCAGGCAGCGTCCCACATGCCCCGGCTAGAAGGACCCACAACGAAGAATATACAACTATGTACTGGGGGGCTTGGGGAGAAAAAGGAAAAAAATAAAATCTTAAAAAAAAAAGATTTTTTTTTTTAGCAGCTGCATAGTACTTTGTATGGCAAATACCCAGCCTTTCCCTTTCCAGTAAAAAATGCAAAGTAGAGGATTTAGGTATGGAGTCAAACCTCCAGAGCAGGAGTGAGGTTTAGAGAGTAAGTGGCAGAGCCAGGACTCAACTGCCACGTTCTGAAACCAGAACTGGTACAATTCGCCATTGCCCTGCACTGTCTCCCCGCAGCCCTGTGGCACCAGCTCTTTCCCGTGGGCGTGAGTCTGCAGATGAGATTCCTCGCCCCGGACAAATCCAGTAAGAGGAGAAGCTGGAGTTCATCTCCATTTCATCTGGCTCTAGCTCATGCCCTTGCCACGAGGTCACCCTGCCTGGATATCAAAGAGGAGACCAACTCCAGTGTTTGCAGGGGTCTGTGGGGATTTGGGGGTACAGTACTTCCCCATTTCCCTTGCCACTCCCAGGAGATGATTCCTGTGCTTTCTCTACTCAGCATCACGCAGTTACCCCCCATGCCTGTCATTGTCATTCTTGAGTCGATCCAGACCTTCATTCTAAAGAACCCCAAACAGTTTTAATTCTGTGAGTGATGGGGAAGGAGGAGGGCAATGTAGAGGAGCCAGAGGGAAGTGTTTCTAAAATGGCTTCGAGTCTAATTTTCTTTTTTTAATTTCTTTTTTAATTTGTTTAAAAGATTGGTACCTGATGGGGCTGGCCCTGTGGCCGAGTGGTTAAGTTCGCGCGCTCTGCTGCAGGCGGCCCAGTGTTTTGTCGGTTCGAATCCTGGGCGCGGACATGGCACTGCTCATCAAACCACGCTGAGGCAGCGTCCCACATGCCACAACTAGAAGGACCCACAACGAAGAATATACAACTATGTACTGGGGGGCTTTGGGAGAAAAAGGAAAAAAATAAAATCTTAAAAAAAAAGAAAAAAGATTGGTACCTGAGCTGACATCTGTTGCTGATCTTTTTTCTTCTTCTTCTTCTTCCCAAAGCCCCCCAGTACATAGTTGTATATTCTAGTTGTAGATCCTTCTGGCTCTGCTGTGTGGGATGCCACCTCAGCATGGCCTGATGAGCGGTGCTGGGTCCACGCCCAGGATCCAAACCGGCAAAAGCCCTGGGTCGCTAAAGCGGAGCGCAGGAACTTAACCACTTGGCCACGGGACTGGCCTCTCTAATTTTCCCTTTGTGATTATTTTGACTCCAAGTTCCACAAAAGAATAATTTCATCTAGTTAGTGAAAAATGCTCCTGCCAGATGGCTGCTGGTGAAGACCAGTGCTGGGACCACAAGGTAATATGAGATTCCTAGCAACTGGCTGGTGCCATGGAAAAATATGTCATCTGTTGGGCGGCCACTCCCTGCGCCGTGAGTGGGTGCCAGGCGCTGGCTGCTGGAGAGGAGGCCAACTCCAGGAGGTGTGGGGGCTGTGAGGAGTCCACCACGATGGTGGTTGTGGCCGGAGAATTCAAATGTAACTGGCCTTCCTAGGAGCCTCATGTGTGGTCAGTTTCCACAGGCAGCTCAGTACAATGCCCTTGACACTGACTTGACTATTTTGCTAATCATTTCCCACCCACTGCCATGCATTTATGGGACATTTTCCCTTGGCCCAGAATGCCCCTCGCCCACAACTCCCCCAATCTTTGCCAGCCTACTCCTATTCATTCTTTATGATGCAGAGGCAAGGTCACCTTCATGAAGCCGCCTTTGATTTCTGCCGTGATTGGCATCTGAAGCCCTCTTCTGGGCTCCTGTAATGCCTTAGCTTTAGTTCTCTTTCAGTCCCTGTTCATTCAGCAAATATACATTGTACCCAGTGTGCCAAGGCCTTTTCTAAGTATCACACTGCAATGCAGTGTCTAGTGTGTGTTCCCAGGTCAGTTGCGAGCTCAAGAGAGAATCTCTGTGTTCTTGACCTCCAACGCAGGACCTGCACGTGGCTGATCCTCGAGGAGACACATGGTTGCACCCTGATTTAAGGTGTTTCCTTCTAGTGAACACAAATAACTAGAGTTCATGGGAGACCAGTAAGTGTTACATTGCAGAGGGGACAGAGAGAGAGATTATTAATTCCTGTGTAAGTGCTGGGGATGGCGGTGAAAAGAAAACCAAAAAAAAGGGCAGGCTTCCGTCGGGTGGCTGGTTTCCCTCTCTGTTCTGCACCTGACTTTGCAATGAAATGAGGTTCACTGCCCTTGGCTGGCTCTGCTTGAAAGCTCGAGGGCCCCTGGGTGCCTAGCAACAACCTGACTGCCCAGGATGGTGATTTTGAAGCAGGGTGTGTCTCCTGGGCAGGAAGCTACCCACACCGCCAAAGCAGCCAGGGCCTCCCCTTCGCTTCCTCTGAGCCAAGACTCCGCCTTAAATTGGGGCCAATGCTTGGTGTTTTGGAGCCCTGTCTTCGGAGCACAAATGGGATGTTTCTAGCAAAGATAACTCCAGCACCTACAAGCTGTGTGATCTCAGACAGGTCACATCACCTCTCTGAGCTTCAGTTGCCACAACTGTCTTGTTCCCGTCTTATTCCCAGCTAGGGTCGCCCTAGCACAGCACTGAAAGCAGAGAAACATTCAGTGAATGCTGTTGTGTCTGCATCTGCTCGGTTAGGGGAAGATGCAGTTAGCAATTCTTTCTCAGCTGTCCGTTTGATCGTGTTCTTTTCTTCTGAGCCCCTCTCTCAACCAGCTCCACCTTCTCATTTCTAATTTCTACACATAACATCCTGTTCTTCTCACTCCTCCCTATTTCTCTCCTCATTGCTTATCTTATCTACAGGCATTAAATCTCATCATCAAAAAAATTCTACACTTTTAAAAAATCACAAGTGTTTTGGTGTTTAGGCCAATACTACTGCTTTAGTGACCTTTAATTTTTTAATATAATGTGCATCCTGTAAAATGCACAAATCTTAATTGTACAGCTCGATGAATTTGTACAAAGTGGGCATACCCCATGACCACTTTCCTGATGAGGATACAGAATATGACCAGTAACTCAGAAGTCTCCCTCATGCCCTTTCCTAGTCATTAACCCCCTGAAAGGTAACTGCTGTTATTATTATTATTATTTCTTTTTTGAGGAAGGCTGGCCGTGAGCCCACATCCATGCCCATCTTCCTCTACTTTATATGTGGGACGCCTGCCACTGCATGGCTTGACATGTGGTGCCACGTCCACACCCGGGATCTGAACCGGCAAACCCCTGGTTGCCAGAGTGGAACATGTGAACTTAACCGCTGCGCCACCGGGCCAGCCCCTCTTGTGATTTCTATTGCCCTAGAGTAATGTCTGTTTCTGAATCAAATGGAATCATATGTTATATATCCTTTTGTGTCTAGCATCTTGTGTTCAACATTGTATGTGAGATTCATCTCTCCCCTGAGCATCCCGCTTTTCCGTGCCCACGTACCTGGACATGCCTGGTCTTTGTGCCAGGAATCTTTCTGTCCTTTCAGCGTGCCCCACCCTGGCCTGGCCAATCTGGGCAAGTCCTCTGGATTCAGATCAAATCTTGCTCCTTGGGGAAATCTTCCCTGACCAGCTCTGGGTTTGAATCCCAGCTCTTCTACCTACCAGCTGTATGACTTTGGGTAAGTGTTACTAACCTCTTCATGCCTCATTTTTGTTGAAGATAATAGTTTCAATATTCCAGAGTTCTTGCGAATTTCAAGTGAGATAATACCTATTAAACCCTTAGAACAACACCTGGGGCAAAGGACGTACTTAATAAATGCCAGGTGTAACTATTGTGAATACCTTGCTTTTTCCCCTAGTTCCTTGTACACACCCTTGTCCTAACACTTATTTTGATTATTGCTTGTCCCACAATAAGACCTTAATTCCTTCAGTAGGGATGGTGTCTTCATTTACTGTATTTCTTCAACAGATATTTATTGAGCATAAACTCCATTCTAACACTGAGAGTACAGTGGTGAAGGAAACCCTTGAATTTTACTTTTCAATGGGAGGAGACGTTAAGAAAAATAAAAGAGGTGTGGGCCGGCCCAGTGACGCAGCGATTAAGTTCGCACATTCCGACGGCCCGGGGCTCACCGGTTTCGATCCCGGGTACAGACATGGCACCACTTGGCAAGCGATGCTGTGGTAGGCGTCCCACATACAAAGTAGAGGAAGATGGGCACAGATGTTAGCTCAAGGCCAGTCTTCCTCAGCAAAAAGAGGAGGATTGGCAGCAGGTGTTAGCTCAGAGCTAATCTTCCTCAAAAAAAAAAAAAAAGAAAGAGGTGAGATCATTTCACATAGTGGTTAAGACTATTAAAGAAATAAAGCAGTGTGGTGTGACAGTGGGTTGGGGGTGCTGCTTAAGCTGGGTGGCGAGGTCTTCTTGAAGAGGTGATATTTGAGCAAAGACCTACAAGATGACACGGAGCAGGCGTGTGCAGAGCAGGAGAGAGAACAGCAAGCACAAAGGCTCTGAGGTCGGCACAGGAAGCTCAGCTGTGTCTGAGAAACAACAAAGAGGGCAACGCGGCGGGAGCCCAGTGAGTGAGCGCACGGTCCGGAGGAGTTTGCAGAGATGGACAAGAGCGAGGAGAAGCCATTGAAGGGGTTAAGCAGGGCAATATCCTTCACATTTACATCCGAGGGACCTAGCACATGAGAGACACTCCCTAACTGTTGATTATTGGTCACAACGTGACCACGACCAGTTGGTCCACATGAGCAATTCTCAGATTGTTTTCAAGTCAAAACTTCATCATTGTGCCATGTGCCTCTGGAGTCTTGCTAAACCTTACCAGATGGGGATGGAGCTGCTCAGTTA